GGAAACTTCGACGTACAAGAATTTCGGCAGGCAGCTGCGCTCTGGCTGGTCGACAACAACAGACCACTCCGCGAGTTTGAGACGCCGGCTTTTCGCAAGATGATCAGGCTTGCTAATCCTGAGGCAGAGGCGGCGTTATGGAGGTCTCATAACAGCGTGTCAGCGTTCGTGATGAGGTTGTACAGTTGGCTACGGCCTCAGGTGGTGCGCGCGTTGGCTGAAGCCGAGAGCAAGGTACATATAAGCTTCGATGGGTGGACGACAAAAGGCGGCAAACGTGGCTTCTTTTCTGTAGTTGCTCACTACGCCAACAGTAAGGGCGCGATAGTTGACCTACCCATCGCGCTGCCGCAGCTGGTGGGTGCCCACACTGGTGAGGCGATAGCTGACGCTGTAACCAAAATCCTGCAATCCTTCAGCATTAATCGCAGCAAACTCGGCTACTTTGTGCTCGATAACGCTTACAATAACGACACCGCTGTTAACAAACTCGCCGCGATGTACCACTTTTCTGCCTCCGATCGCCGCCTCCGCTGCGCTTGCCACATACTTAACCTTGTTGGCCAAACGATTATGTTCGGGAGGGATGCTGACGCGTATAACAACGCCCTGGAGAACACAAAGATGGAGGATTTTTACATGAAGGAGTGGCGGAAAGAAGGACCGCTTGGCGTGTATCTTGATATTATCAACTACATCAACACGCCGAAGCAGTGGAGTATTTTTGAAGATTGCCAACGCGAGGCAGTTAACAGCATGCCCACAGGCGCCAGCGGCGGCACTCGCGAGCCAATTAAGCCGTGTGTTACACGTTGGAACAGCTATTACGACTGCTTTAAGCGCGGAGTTCAGCTCCAACAAGCTATCAACGCATACGCCACGTACCACATTCGCGAGACTGAACAGGCTGACGAACAGGCAGCTATTAGAGGAAACAAGCTGCCTGATGTGCCGCGGTGGATGAGGTCAGACGGCCTTACGGCGGCTGACTGGGCGGTGATTACTGAGTACATGGCGATACTGCAGCCGCTCAAGTTTGCTACAGATCGCCTCCAAGGCCGCGGCAAGTGTGGCCGTTTTGGCGCACTCTACGAGGTCATCCCAGTATTTGAGAGTGTGATAACTGAGCTGGATGCACGCCTTCGGCCATACGAATCGGTCAACCACGAGCCATCTGAGGCGCCCGAAGATCACATCCCGATCAACCTGCGAGCCGCGAGGCGAAAAGCGAGCAATTACTTTACTAAGATCCTCCAAAGTCCCATTTACTACGCAGCTACGGCACTACATCCACGATATAAAACATACTCTAAGCGCTTCTGGCGCGACAAACCTACACAATTGAGCACCGCGCACGCGAAGTTTCTGCGGGTTTGGGCTGCCTACAAGCCTGCCGCTGCTGCCACAACACCAACCCCTGCGCCAAAACCTACCATGAGCAGCTTTGACGACGCTATCGACGCTATACTAGATGAGGACGGCGAGCATACATTGGAGGTGGAGGATGAGTACGATAGCTGGTTAAAAGAGCCTATGTGGACGTCTGATCAACACAAGGAGGGTCCAACAGCTGTACAGTACTGGTTATCGTTGAAGCCGAAGTATCCACATCTTTCACGATTGGCGATCGACGTGTTGACTATACCCGCCTCCAGCTCTGATTGTGAGCGCGTTTTTGCGGGAACTGGCGATATAATTGAGCCACAAAGGCGGAAAATTGGCGCGCAGTTACTGGCTGCTTTGGTGTGCTTGCAACGGTGGACTCGTGCAGGTTTTACAACACCAAGCACGACAACAGCAGCAAAGCATACTGATGAGGAGCTCACGGAAGAGTTTGCGATAGGAACGTGGGAAGAGCCGCCTGCAGAATTGTCATAGAAACGTCCCTTCAGAACCTTAAGTCTATCAATATTCAATCAATCAACCAACCAAAAATTGGCTCTTCAGTCTCATCAACTCAAACAAACAAACTGTAGCCCTAAGAAATGAGCCAGTCAATCAACATCTACGCCTCAAATGTTGGTTGTTTTGTTTGTTGACTTCTCTGATTCGAACAGGCACTGAGATGTAGGTATAGGCTTGTATTAAGACGAATCCTTGAGGAGCAATCAAGGATCCAGTGAGGTGCTATATACGACTACGGCACGTGACTGTGGCTGGCTCGGGCCGATGGGTCCCCGAAGGGGTCCCTGAGGCCTACCGAAGTATGACCCAGCTGGAGTATCGTGACATTATACGCGGTAAACGGAACGATCAACAACATAATCAGCATCGTTGTAATTTTCGAACTGTTGGCTGGAGTTAAGAGCTTAAATCTCTAAAGAATAATAAGACGCTAACTGCGTGTCAGATAACAGGGGTTAGATGGAAGGGGTATTCTACTTCGGCTCTAAGTGAGGGGTAAAACAAAGAACCCCTCCGAGGGGCTCAATGCCCCTTGGTAAGGGGTGATACTCCCTTTGTAAAGCCCAATGCACGGCCTCAATCCTACTTCGGCCCAACTCGGGTCCAACGACATATATACCTCTGTAGCCCTCAAAAAGAACGAACAATCAACAATCACTATCTATCATCATTATTGCCCATTCCATCAGTATTCCAGATAAGAGTGAATATCTGACACTGCGACTCTAAACATCAAGGGGGGAGAGAGTTAGGATACGAAAATGATGTTCGCGTCCCAGCACGTAGGGTGTCCCAGCACGCAGGGAGGGACGTTACTACGGGATTAGAGAGTTTCAAATACTAACTGTATATTGGTAGCCCAAAAGCAGCGAACAAGTAGCCGTCCGCCGCGCAGCAGGGCTACTGGGCGCTACCCCGTATACTGCTATGTCTACCTGTCAGATGTGTCAACAAGGAAGCGAAAAGCCCGCATCAGACCTACCGAGCTAGCCATCCATTAGGGTGTGTCATTTGTTAAGACACCCATTTATGTACACAGATTCTTTGGCCTGCTACACAAACCAAATCATGGGCCTCCGGGCTGTTGGTACACTCTCATGCACTTGCAGTTTCCGGTTCTTGCAAGCAATCAATCTTTGACCCCACTCTCGCCTAATGACCGAAGAGCGCTAGCTCTTGTCAGTAGTTCCTTTTGTAGAGACAACAGTATCTCCTAGCCAATTGAAATCAGACGCTTACAGAATCTAAGATGTTTTGGGCAAGCGCTCACGAATCGACATGTGTGGGATGAAAGCCAGGCAGCATGCAAAAAGCGGAAACTGCAAATGCATGAGAGTGTAGGGGCAGGCACACCGTAGCCCCAGTTGGCTGCATACACTTTTATAGATAGATCAATGATAAATAATTCAAAAAAAAAGAACGCCGCATCGATTGTCCAGAGGGTGTGAATGGATAGTTAGCACGAGGGGTGGACCGGATTAGTGGCACTTGCGGAGTGGAATGGTGTCAGATATTCACTCTCATCTGGAATACTGATGAAATAGATAATAATGGTGATGATATTGATGATTGATTGTGTGTTGGTTCTGTCTACGGTTGTGGGCACACCTGGGGGGTGCCAAGCCTTACTGTGATCCGATTGGCTCTCTCAGATGCCGGGTCGCGCTAGTCTAACCCAGCGTCTGTACGCTCTCATCTTCAACAGTGCTATTATCTGACAAATGGAGACGCCGTTGTCGGCTAGCCGTTTATCGCAGCACGTATGCGCTAAGCAGCAAAGGGTCGCGCGATGCCTAACTCCAACCTAGCCCCTATTATCAACCGCCTAGCTTCGTTTTCAGGACACCAGAAATATTAACCCGCCTCTCGACTGTCATTTTACCTCATCCCAACTATCGCGTGTGCTCAAGTATAATCGCAGCAAGCAGCAGCTACGATAGGTGATTGTCCGCTTCAGCTCTGGAGCCAAAGCGACTGGATCATTTTCCTCGGCAGTCAAGGTCCGACGGTTCGCCAAATCATCAGATGTTTAGGCCTCTCGCACACCGACAATCGCGGCGCCCCAAAGTTCTCCGAGCGTGAATCACGACGCCTATCCAATGAAGTTCAGAAACTTTCACAGACCCTCCCTACGGACATGGATGCTCTACTCCAATCTGCGTCAGACTATAACGTGCTTGATGAGGCGCTGAACACGTTATTAAACAGCCATGGTCTAGCAACCTGGGGAGAGAATGCAGACCGCAAGCAACTGCTAATAACCGCTAGAACCTCAGATACTAGCTATTCTACGGAGCTCATTTTTGAGGTCCCTGCAGACAGAATAATGTAAGCGGCCCACCGGTGTTGAGCTCCACCAACAAGCTGACCTCCACTTGACTGAAGACACATCTCTATTGCTGGATCTACAAGAAAGCATACACTTCTCTTCAACTAAGGAAGCCGACAAGGCAGACGGTTACGAGCAATGTAACAACCAACTCCGGTGACAGTGCTGCACATGCTGTAGCAGATCGGCCGGCACCAGTAAGCAAGCCTCGATTTCATTTTTCTAGCAGAACGCGGGGCCCTAACGGTTGTCGCAGTTTACCATTGAATCATCGCGGGCTGGAACCCCTACTATATCCAGCGCAACCCCACCCGCACACGCCACAGGTCGAGACACTGCTTCAGCGAAGCGAAAAGTCAGTCCCAGCAATTCATGCGCGAACGACTTCAATGCTACAAAGCGTCACCGCCAGAACGCAGCCACACCAGTCGAGCCGACTTTACGAGAATCAGCCTCTACATCAAGGGGAAGCTCTGAGCACATCAGGCATACCCCTCCGCTAGAAAACACCTACGTGTCGCCCCTAGCTGTTCCCACTCTGGCTGCGACTTCTTCTAAAAGGGCATCGGTGATATTAAACCCTCCCTTTCACCATGCGCAGGGTGATTTGCTTGGTTCCACCAACGCTCATACAAACAAATTCGTTGCGGTCAATCGAACTTCGACCAATACACACACTGCACCCAGTCCTTCAGTCCTGTCAGTGGCTCCGAATATACCCAGTAGCCTCGGACAGCTGACTAGAATTCCCGATCCGCACCCCCTCATGAGTCACGATACTGATCAACAATATGGTCCAAGAAGCAACGAGACGGCTGGCTCTCGCGAGGTGTCTTTTGAACAATGCGATCTTCTATCTCTCCTTCTCAATTACCTGTTTCCGCGCGAAAGTGCACATGTCGAGGAATCCATCATGTTACGCAGTCTGGAACAGGTATGGACCAGCCACGAACATGACTTTAGGCTCATCATGGAACAACGGTTCAACGATCACCAAAGAGCTCTTCACATATGGATTGGCCAGCGGCGCAAGACGAGTCAGCTTCAGATGATGATTGATCGCCAGCCTAGCGCACAGACACTGGAGATGGTAGACCGAGTGCTTGTCATGAACGACCTCCGCATTCTGCAACTGAAGTGGAAAGCACTTAGAGTGCATGTTCACAGTCAAGACTCAACCCCAGGGGACTTATTGTGTAGCACTTTTGCGATCATGACGAGAACACAGGGAACGGAAGCGCTGTTCAAGGAAGGTCTGGAGAGGCTCAAAGAGACTTCACCTGAGGTTTGGAGCTGTGACGCCCCGGTCATTTCGATATACCCCTAGTAATGCGTTCCGTGTGGCGAGGCGTTATTATGTATAAAACCGACTATCAGAAGCAGAGTCCGTCAGCGAGTACACGGACTAAGGTCCGTCCCTAACTGGAGAGATATACCATGTCCCGAGATAAGTTAGCAGATTAGACCTTCAGCGCCTCCTATCTGCAGATCTGTAGAGCTTACGTTTAATAGCGATGTTGATAAATGTATTTCTCCTTTAGGCCGATGGGCTCCGACTTAGCTCTCTGCAGTGTTGGGTAAGCTGTTGATTATTGCAGCTTTAGCTGCATATTACAATCGCTTGAGGCTCCAAATGTTCGAAGAATCTCGACGCTTATTGGTCTATTAAGCTCTGCTCTCATTCGTCCGAACTCTGCCAAGATGTCAGGAAGTATCACCGCCAAGATATTAGGATGCACGTGACGAACGTTAAACCTCAACACTAAGAAACGGACACTAGAACGCTAAGATCACGAGAAACAGCCCGGCGCAGCCGCCAAAAAAAGGCCCTCGGCAGAGCCTCCGGAGGAGCCCGGCTGGCAGGCCATGTCTCTTTCCTTCTCTATTACCGCTATCACCTCTCTCCGCCCACGCCACTATTAATAAGATAGAGGATGGCAATAACTACAGCGATGAGCTTAATAACACTACTGAATTGCTCAACACCGCATTAGAGCGCGCCACCTGCAGGAGCTACCTCGCCGCCAAGCTCCAAGCTTCAACCCCATCTCACCCACCCCACCTTACCCATCGCAACCTCAGCAATCTCAGCAACCTCTGCCTCTGCCCTCGCGATCGCCGCCACTGCCCTCATAATCCTCACAACCCTCACAACCCTCGCGACCCTCGCGACCTTCACAATCCTCACAATCCTCACAATCCACGCACTGGACCGTTGGCTGGATTCGTCTAAATCATGCCAAGATGTTGATCGCTGAGATGTTTTTTAGTGAGCGTTGTTACCCGTGACATCGCGTCATAGCGCGACTGCGCTAGGCGGCATCAAACAAACGCGCCCACACCCCATGGGAAAACCTCTTGCGCTCGCTGTGAACTTCTTCGCTAACCCTCTAACCTACCCACCTCTTAAACCTCGTGCTATAACCCTTTATTAACTCGACACTCACGCTAGTGATGGCTGCTGTCGCAGGCGCTCAACCTCTAGGCGGGCCTCCTGCAGGCGGCGGCCCAACCCCCCCATCGTACGCTGGGCCTGTTCCTCCCACTCGCAAGTGTTCTAAGCGACAATGCCCACACATGCTCGAGGCCCCTATTGACAAGAAGCCTGATGGCTCAGACTAAGTTACTATTTCCGCCAATGTGGCGGCTGCTTAGTCCAGCTCCTCCCGACGCCACTTGTGCAAGGGCCGCCTCTCGCGCCTTCCCTAGATTTGCCTACAGGCCATGACCTTATGCGCAGTCGCCTTTCCCATCTCCCTCGCACCTTTAGGCACTTAGGTACAAGGTGACAGGCACTGCAGTTGCGAGGCCCTCGTCACATCGCAGCACGTCTGTCGCCGCTTGCCAACCTTCACAGCTTGCTAACCTTCACAGCTTGCCTCGCCCATCCGCGTGCCGCGCGCCGCTCGCAATCGCATCCCTCCTATCACGATCCCCGACGTCCGCTCTACCTCTTTGCCCTCGAAACGCTCCTCTCGCCGATCGCACGGCGCCATCGGGCGAGAAGCATGTTGCGTCGCTACAGTCTCCCTGCTTATACCGCCACGACCGCCCTCGCTCTCTTCTCACCCGGCACACATGGACGCTGCTACTAGGAGTTTTGTACAAGGGGTAATAACACCAAGAGATGAGACGCACACGGAGTCTACTAACAATGCTCAGAACTGCACGACAAAGCCTCCGTCCAGACCTACTCTACCAGCCCACCACTGTCGACTATGCCGAACATGCACCAAAGTGCCGCTCCCGCTGCTCATACCGTTAAAAACAGTGCAAAGGTGCTCATCGCCTGAGTCTTCCTCGCCGCCTGAAAGGCTATACACCGCGGGTGCTTTTTGAAAGCGACAAGGTGCGAGCCTTTAATGCCGACACCAAGTACATCCGCGGTTGAATTTGGCGCACGCGATACAACCACTCCCTCGGTAGTGTAGGCATAGGAGCTGGTGAAGGTAAGAAGACGTCAAGGTGTGTGCATCGTTGAATACGAGACCTGCAATCAATGTACATTTGATTACTTGGATACTGGCATTGCATCTCGTACTCCAGAGTCATCCGAATGACGGAGAGGCACAGGCTACAAGGTATCGGCGGCGTGGTTAAGTTGAAGCACAAGAAGCAGGTACGCATCGGCGAGTACGCGAAGCCATGCAGAAATGAGAAGAAGAAGTTGATACCATATTTTAGCGCGAGGTTTGAGGAGAGCTTAGGAGCTCGCGCTTTTGATGCAAGCGTGTTGTCTGGAGTGAGAGGGACAAGGCTGGGACTGAGGGAGTTCGGTGACTCCAGTTCGGCTTCCTGCAGCAAGTCGAAGCTATCTTAGTAACACCGATTGGGCTCCGTTTTACTAGATTGACTGTCCAAGTCACAGGCCGAAGTAACTTTACAACGCCATGCCTCAACGTAACAACTTACAGTCAGCTTCAAAACAGGCTCGTATTTAGCTTGCTATTCAAGCTATCAGACAGGATGCGTGTATTATCCAGCGACGCCCTCCAGCAATCTATAGCGTTCGTCAAACTACTCTGAATAATTGTCTTGCTGGAATGTCTTGCAGATGCGATACTACGCCTAATTCGAGGAGCCTCACAACAACAGAGGACGTAATTTTTTAGCGTATACTTGAATTAGATGCGCGAGGGTTTCCGCCCCGGCTTGCTGCTGTCAGGTATATGGCTGATTTCTTGCATACGTGTGGGGAAAGTGCTTGTGAAGAACAGGAGGAACCATTTTACTACCACGTGGTACTTGGGATGCCCTTACCGCATGAACCGTCACATTGTCCAGCTCAACAGTAATCTCTGGCTGTATTCGCCCCGCATTTCAGCCTGGTCCTCTCGCAATACACTTTGTATTTGCAAGCAGGTCATCATCCTCAACCTCATACGGTGCGACGCTAGTCCACCTAAAACATGACTCCTCTTCATGCGCTTAGTAGCGTAGAGAATTTGAACCATGGTTGCGAGACCCGGAGCGACGGGTTTGCTCATTCAGCCAATCGATCAAACTACTCAACTTTCTAACATCCATCTTGCAGTTGTACCATGGTTCCACAAGCATCTCATCCGCTATCTCAAACAAGGTCCGCCTGCAAAAGGTCTGCATCGACCGACCTTCTATCTCGTCCCAAGCATTCACGAAGAACGAGGTCGCCCGAATTCAACTGCCGTACGTTACCTACCACACTCACAGCCGAACATCCGCAACCTTCGAATACCATCGACTGCCTAACTTCATCTGTCGCATTCACGATGCCAGCAATCGACACCAGATGGAGTCACCGTGTCGGGTCGCCCGCGTTAACGGTGCCGCCATTTAACACTGTAGGAGCACAAACTACACATGAGTGGAAAGACGTGAAGTTTCGGAGCGAAGTAGTCAGTGTCCTCGAGCACGCCCAGGTCAGGGTGCTTGGTTACGACCTTGTTAGGCGCGTCCGACCGGGCCAGGAGGTATCTCAGACGCCTCTGACGCTGCTGGTGATATCGGACGCATCGATTGAAACACAGTATTCGGCCTGGGAGGTCGCCGTCCGGCACCTTAGATCGCTCCTCGACAAGACCAAACGCGAGGACATCATTGTCGAGATTTCCGACATCAAGACGGCCCACGAGGTGGTCTCGGCGCCGTTGGTAGGCTGCACCCCAGAGCTCATCAACGCTTGGCATGAATTCCAGCCCGCTTTGCTCAAAGAAATCGACGGACAGAAATGGCTCGCCGTCGACATCGTCCATCGCGAGATTGGCGACCTACATCCCGTGAGTGTGCCCACTCTCTTGATCACTGCCAGAGATGCCGATCTGGCTATATGGTGGGACATCATCCTACCGCGGTTGCGCGAACGACTCCCTCCACCGATGGAGCTCGATCTCCTGTATTCGCCACACCTGACTCTGCAAACCCCTAGCGACGATGAGGGTGCAGAGGACTCGGGTCTCCGTCCTAATATTTACAACACCATGCAAGACTACGATCGGGTCGTACAGATGGGCTCCAGTATGGGCGTTCACCAGCCTGCCAACAGCGGCACCGTCAGCGCCGTCATCAGGCTCCGGGACGCGAATGGCGATGAGACAAACTGCGCCTTGACCAACCACCATGTGGTTGCAACTCTTGAGGGTAAGAGCATCATAAACGAACGAATTCCGGCAGGGCAGTTCCTGGGTCTCGACCATGAAATCTCGCGCCTGGGTCTTGTCGAGATTGTAGCCCCTACACACAAGGACCACGACCGGTTTCTCATCTACAAGAAGATGGAGAAGAAAGAGCACGACGAAGCGCTCGCAACCTTTCAGGACCAGCATCTGCCTGGGTACACCCTCGCCCAACGCAATGTCATCGCGACAGACAGCGACTGGGTAGTGTTGAATTCGACTCCAGATCGTCTCCTCGGCACGGTCCTGGCATCGTCGGGCTTTCGAGTGTGTGAGAACACAGACTACACCCTCGCTGAAACTAAAACGTTCTCTAAAGTCGCGCATGTGCCCAACTACGCATTCAGACATAAAGACGGCACTATGCCCCCGAGCCTAGCCGAGAAGATTAACGGGCGCACTATTGGCTTCGGCCTTAACTGGGCTGTCATCAAGTTGGCGGAGAACCGAACACTCAGCGACCGGACACCCCAGCGCAGCTCTGGTGTGAAGGTGCCCACCGGTGCACAAGTCGGCCGATACGCGCACATCCGGCATAACGTAAGCTACAACGTTGCAAAGAAAGGACGAACTACTGGTTGGACGTATGGCAAAGTGAGCGAGATCGGATCTCTACTTAATTTGCGACCTGCGGACAGAACATCGGTTATCCCGGTAGACCTGGGGGAGCGATTCGGCCAGACCAACGCGATCATGCTGGCATTCGGCGTCATCGACGACCGGAAACGAAAAGAATTCATGTTAAGTGGAGACTCCGGCAGCTGCGTTCTACTAAACGAAAGTAACCCGAAAGCAACCATCGTTGGTCTGCTGTATGCATCCAACGAGCACACCCATGTCTCATACATGATTCCCTTCGATTTGGTCGTACGAGATATAGAGCACGTGACGGGCCAGACTGTGGTGCAACCCGAGTTTGTCGACTACGATACAAGGGGTTGAGTGCAAATTGCGAGAGGGAAGTTTAGTTATGGGTAGGACAAGTTGCTAAGAAGGCTTTGGATTGTAGTATACCTTAAACATTTCTTCATGAAATTTGCACTAAGTTATACCATTGCATAGTAGCTCATACATCAACGTAGCTATCTTTAACTCTCTTATCGAAAAGCAACCTCATGGTCCACTCTGGACCTGTCCATAAACTAGCTAACACATTTCAAAGTACCCCTATGCCCAAATTACCGAATACAACATAGTCTCTGATACTTTCGCAACCCGTGTTTCTAAGAACTACATCTAGTATTCCGTAACACCTTCTAAGCGGTACTATCAAGGAAGTATTTAGCACCTCTTGAACGGTGTGAGGAGGTAGAGCTCTGAGCGGACATGAGATCGTCCTAATATTAAGATTAAGCTTCAATCTATGTAGAACGCCTACAGAATCTATCCTGTCATCGGTAACCTTCATCAATTCACAAGGTTATAAGAATGTAACTCTTTACCCTTCTTGTTTCCGGATCACCCCGATATCTTGCCCTCCATCTCCGCGAAGCATCAGCCTAACCTCCAATTTCTCAAATGGACCCTTGTTCATGTCTTCTGTCACAAGACCTCGGATACAATTGTAGCGCCTACGTGCCTTCCTTTCAACCTTCCTCACCTCTCGCTCCAGTCCGCGAGCGCCCGAGCTTCGATGATAACCACGCTCAGCTAAGTAACTGCAGAGCTTACTGTCGTCCTTGAAAGATATGATACAGTGACCCATGTGACGAATGACTTCTTTGCGTAGGTCAATATCCTTGCGGAATCTCGCTGCTTTCTCGAGCAGAAATTTGTGAGCCATGACAGCTTGCTCTCCTGGTGAGAATGGAAAAAATGGTACTACTTCATCAATGCGTGACTCGAACGCATCCTGCTAGTGTTAGTTGTAAAACTCTCTCAAAAATGATCATTAGCCATACTCCCCATCGTTCCTTGAAGGCATCTCGGAGCTCCCCAATAAGTGGTTCAAGATCCGCAATCAATTTATCCTTCTCTTGTTTGTGTGCTAACTTGCTTTCATGAAAGCTCGCAATCGCTTCATCGCCTAAATTGCAAGCCAATATCCAGATGGTTTTAGAGCAGTCGATATTTCGATTCATGCGTCTATCCACATAGGCTCCTAAGGCTGAGTGTTAGTGATGTAATAAGTTATGGCCAATCGCCTGATCTACTTACCCTCTGAAAGCAAAGTTAAGAGTGATTCGCATACGTCCTGTGACGTTTTGTCGAACTCGTCCAGGAAAACGACCGAGCACAAGCCGTTATTATGCGACAGATGATTGTTCAGTTTTGAGCCCTCCTTTGAGCGTGCGTAGCCTTGCTTGGAGCCTAGAAGCTCGGTATCGGTTTCCATTTGTGAGCAAGCGACCGTCACATGCTTGAGCCGCAAGAGATCGCCGAGTTGCTGAGCCAACTCCGTCTTGCCATGGCCCGGAGCGCCGGCGAACACCATGACAAGAGGATCAGATCCATCAGCATTCGAGCTCATCTGATTGAAGACAATCTCCTGAAGTGTTTTGAGGACTGGAAGTTGGCCGATGATGCGGTAAGGCAACTTACCAAGGTCCGTCACCTCTAGCAACTCATGAAGCTGCACTTCTCTCTCCATTAAAGGCTCGCATAAGCTCGCTCGATGTAGGAAATAACGCTGACTGAGATTGAGTCCTCGCGCAAGGTAACTGCGGGTCAAGTCATCACACCACTTGATCTCCGCGGGTTTCTTGCCTCGCGTTGGTGGCCAAGCCTCTTAAGGCATGTCGAGATAGTTCTCCCACATGTCTTCCGGAACAGTCCTTGGGTCAGCACCGGATGCAAGGAGGATCTTGATAACCTCGGTCATGTCTAGCGACTGGAGATATCCGTGAATCGCTGCGAAAACAAGAGGTGGGATGAAGTGAGCCTCGTCATCCGGACCGTGTGGACTCATGCCAAACTTGAGGAGGAGACTGGTCATCTCAGGCGAGTTTCGTCCCATGGCGAAGTACAGGACAGGTGTCGCCAAATGCATCATTTCCTTGAAGTCACTCTCCTCCTCGCGATAGTGCTCCACATAAGATCTGACAGCTTCGACGCTGCAGCCATGTGAGACAGCAGTGCAGAGAGAAACGACATGAAACATGTGCGAGGATGTTGCCTCTAAAAGCTCATCATCGATAGAAACGTCCGGGCGGGTTCTTATCAATTTCGGTATGTAGTATACATCTTTCAGAACCAGGTTGAAAGGAACCATTTTGGGATGAGAGTAGGATGGAGCCATTGTGATGGGAGATAAGACTTTGTTTGAGAGCTGAGACGCAACTCTATATCATCGTAATGATGGTGAAGCTTGCCCTGTCCTCGTACAGTCACTAGTAAACTCGGCTTTACCATTGAACCCAGCTTAACTGCACGTTCCACGGCAGCCAATAATCCTGCATACTGTGCCGAGTATCGTCCGGGGATGTACCTTGTCCGCCGCGCACATTGTGGCAGACAGGGGCGGGATGGCGATGCGGTAAGTGCGAAAGAGGGGAGGAAAGCACAGAATCGGTAATAAGCCGTTACCGTGTCCGTGCGCGTACCGAGTTGGCACCCCATCGCGTGCGGCTGAGGTAACGCGCGCGCCTCCTGCAGCAGGTCAGGGTGAATGCCTTAGAACGTGTCTGTGCTCATGTCGCCTGTGTTCTCGCGCCGCACGCAAAATCGCACAGGTCCCAGAGCGTCGCTCAGCACATGAAAAGGCCTCCAGCAGAACACCCGCCGGCTTGGCGCTTTCCCCGCCTCCCGTCTTTTCCCCACCCCCATCCTCGCCACCACAGAGCTCACCAACGCATGGCTGCGCGACTCTGTGCATCCCGAAACCGACGTTGAAGCCGTCTTTTTGCACTCGCGCTCGTCCCAGCGACGCCGACGCCCCATGGCATACGGCCCCTCCAAACGGCCCAGCGTCGACCGTGACGAGCCCATTACGCCCACCCAAAGCGCGTAAGTGGTGGGCAGCGCGACGAGCCTTGAATCGCACACCCGCCCATATCCTTCCACCCGCTGACCGCAGCGGGCGAATGCGTTCCTGCGGCTGTTGCGCCACGTATTCGGGCTGCAGACAATCTCGACACGAGCCTAAAGCTAGCCGCCTACTAAATTCTCGTTGATTACGGCCGCGACATCCCTATCATCCTCAAGGAGTATATCTCTCCTGTAATTCTCGCGCCGCGCGACCCAGGCGTCCCGCCGTCTTCCAACGCTACAGAGATCAAGCAACAGCGCTGTAGCCGCCCAGCAGAATGAGAGGAGTGGCATCAAGCGTGATGGAAGGCTCCCTGAGAGCCGTAGACAATCCTGTCACAACTATGGCCGACGCCTTCTCCTGGAGAAAGGCAAGGCCCGCCAGTGGTGACCATAGAGGCCGAATACTACTTGCGTTGTCGAGCACGCACAACTAGGATAAAACAGACCTCGCAGTAATCGTCCACCGTTCATCATTTACCAAAGGGCCGACGGCTTACGCGCAACTCATGCCAAGCTGCAAATGCTCATAATTACCTCCAACCCGTAAGTGCTGTCAACCCACGCCCTCTCTCGACACAACCGCCTCGCGACTTGGTCGCTCGACGACGTACACATACACTTGAGCCGCCATGACGATGTCGGCACAGATTAAGCGTGTTCCCTCCAGGCAGCCCCTCAAGCAGCCCCCACTCGGCCTGCATCTGGAGATGTCTTGTTCCGCTTTACAACTTCGACGACTATGGCACGATGAAGGTGCTGTGAGAGGTTGACGCCTGTGCGTTTCACGACGACGACGACCCGTCACCCGGCGCTGTCCGCTGGAATAACTCCCTTGACGAAATGAAGTCCATCCCTGACTTTGACTTCGACGGTCGTCGCGTCTACATGCCCCAGCGAGCGTGAGCGCCCGGGAGGAGAGGTACCTATCGCAACGAACGGAGGCCTGCAGTCCGCACTGAGCAGACTACACACACAAGGCACACAGTTAGTGCTGATCACCAGCGTCGATTATCCAGACCTAAGGGAAGCGCGTGGCGAGTTAGGTGGCCATTCCTAAGGCGTCAAGCGTAGGGTAGCATGTATTTCTACGCGCAGCGTACATCCAAGGGGCAAAGGGTCCAGTCAGACACCGCGCCTGGAGCTCCACAGCGCGAGCACAGCCACGCCGACGTCAATAGTTCCGGCAATAAGAACGACGACGATAGCGAGAATGTGGTAGAGGACGAAAAGGCAGCAGACGAAGATGATCCTGACGGTTCACACGAGGTCAACATCCACAACAGTGACACTTCCTAGATTGACGTGTTGGATAAAGAGCCTGAAGATGGCGTTGATGGGTCAAACTTCGACGGCCCTATTAGTATAAGCTCATTCTCGTCAGACGCGGATGGCACCGACTCTGTCCAGGCTACAGGCAGCCCCAAGGAGTCCAACGTCGACGGGGAACTCCTCAACACAGGCGCGGCGAGTGCGTCCGCACGCGTGGGTGACGACCAAGGTATATCCCGCGAGGAAGTCAACCGGCGAGTAATGAGCATAGGTGCCAGCAACGCCGCGGTCGCGCGTGCTGATAATGCTGCCGAGGTCAAAAAGGGTGCTCGGGTTGAGGACATTTACGAGGTTCAGGAGGTTAACGTTAAGGACGCCAGCGAGGAAGAGGTATTTGGCGCTTCACGTGTCCGTACTACCTCTATCCCGGGCAGGATCGAGGCGGAGCTAAGTATATCAAGTTACATGACTGCCAAGAAAAGAGGTTCAATTCTGAATCAATCGCTTTTTTGGTGAATTCCGAAGTGCGTGGAGATGGGACGGCCTTACACCTCCTCACTCTACACTCAATCTGTGGATAGAAATACACCTTCTTTGTCCATATACCCACTACCCAACATAGGTTCTAGAGGTATGTTGTTCCCACACGTGACGATTCAGCCGTTGACAGAGTACGTGACCACTCGGAGCTCCAGTATTTGCCAGGGAGAATCAAACTCAAACAAAAAAGAAAGGGACAGGCGTTCAAACTTAGTTAAAGTATCTGCTGCAAGTGGGGTTCGCTGGGTGGTCCAGGGAACACTCATTGGATATCCGCTTGAGGTGTCCGAGACGTATGCACGTTTCATTTACCCTTTCCGTCGTCTACATTGCGGTGTGTTGATCTACAGTGTACCAGCCTTTCTGAGAGCGCTGGTGTTGCTATATTTAGCACAAGCCAATCACGTCTGCTACCGGTAGGCAAGCGTAGCGCTGAGAACAGCGTTTGCCCGTTTATGCAGATGACGTGGTGGGCGCTAAGTAGTTCTACTGCATAGGCGCTCGGCTCGGATATACAGCCTTGCCAGAATTAAAAGAGGTTAAGTAGACTCCTTTCCTTGAGATGCTAACATATATCGCGGCTACGCTCGTGGGGAATCCGGTGTCGCTAATAGTTGCCTTCCAGTAACGGAACTCGTAAATCCTATTCCCGAAGCCTACCGGTAGACGCCAGTCTGCTGCGGGCGGAGTTGTGGCGCGGCGCATATGGTCGGAGGTGTAGTTTGTCCTGCAAACAGCCTTTTCCATAACTCCTGCGTCGTCCATCCCAAGATCCCTCCTTCCTTATGTGACGTTTTGTTCCGGTCAGAGGATTGACCGGTTGACGGCTGCCTGCAGCTTGTTTCCTTGGTTGTGGAGATTAGTGTGGGGTCTGTAGAGGATTCGCTGGCATCTCATATGTAGAATATAGCAGCTCCCCCGCACTTCCGGAAGAGAGCAGGTATATAGTTGAATACATGCCTTCTCCCATGCCAGCTGGGTCACACCTTATCGTTCAACCCGTCACAATGTCTCAAGGGTCCGGTGACCAGCACTCCCCCCTCCTGACGAGCCCGGATCGGCTCCAGAAGATCGATCAACTCCGCGAAAGAAACATCGGTACATATCTACCTCTGCCACAGCTTGTGGCCGTAGGGGATCAAAGCTCGGGGAAGTCGTCGTTACTAGAGAGCCTAACCGGAATTCCATTCCCCCGCGGCCAGGAACTTTGCACCCGGTATGCCACCTAGATCACCCATCGCCGCGAGGCACACCAACGAATCGATATCAGCATTTTTCCTGGACCACATGCCTCGCAAGATCACAAAAGGGAGCTCGAATTGTATCGCAAGCAGGTGCAAACAACTGCACAGCTCCGCACAGAGTTTCCTGATATCTTGACACAGGTAACGCTGTCAATCTAACTACCACATCAGGTTGACGCTCTTATGAGCATTAAAACCATCGCCAATACAGCTGGCGAAAACACCTTTTCAGAGGACGTGCTGAAAATCGAGAAATGCGGTCCAAACGAGGATTACCTTACCATCATCGACGTACCCGGCATCTTCCACAACATTGACGAGGGTGTCACTACTAAAAAGGACAAGAAACTTGTTGAGGACATGGTTAAGAGGTACATTAAGGACAGCCGGACCATCATCCTCGCTGTTCTGCCCAGCAACGTCGACGTCGCCACCCAAGAGATCCTGACTCTTGCGGAGGAGGCTGACCCGGCTGGCGACCGGACCCTCGGGATCTTGACCAAGGCCGATCTGTTGACGGAGCGGACCGCCAGACTCGCCGTGGTGAACTTGGTGGAAGGCAATCGGAAACCCCTTAAGCTCGGTTACCATGTGGTCGCGAACCGTGGGGGAGACGACCACGGCGAAGAAGTCGAGGCCTTGGCCGCTCTGCGCGAGCGTGAGACCGTCTTTCTAGAACATCCTTGGGACAACCTTCCGGAGGATCGTCTTGGTATATCTTCCCTACGGGAACGACTGGAAGACCTACTCGGCGAGATCACTGATCGTGCGTTCCCTGAGCTCCGTGGCGAGACGCGCAAAAAGCTGGAAACTGCCGAGAAGAAGCTCAAGGACCTCGGCGCGCCTCGCAAGACAGAGCGTGAGCAACAGCAATACCTCGTCGGCATTGCGAGCGACTTCCAGACCCTCGTTCGTGCCGCGCTGAATGCTGATTATTCAGCACATTCGGCATTTAACAGGAACGAGTTGCGGCTCATCACAGCCATCGTCAACACTACGGAGCAGTTCAATACGGATTTCGTAAATATCGCTCGCACGTATCTCTTTGAGTCCGAGACGCAGTTTGCGGCCATGGTTCCTGTGGGAGTGGTCACCCCCGCAAGCCCTGATTTCCACGAGGAAGAAGAGGTGGAAGAGGAAGAGGAAGAGGAAGAGGAAGAGGAGGAGGAGAAGGAGGAGGAGGAGGAGGAGGAGGGGGATGACGATAGCATTCTGCAGCTTGATGCATTTGACGTTCCTGATTCCAAGGCATTCCCTGACCTGGAAAGGATCATCGTCTCGGATTGGAACATCGACCTTCCCAAGAAGGGTATCATGAAGTGGATTAAAACTATCCACCAGAGCTCCCGTGGCCTTGATCTGGGCTCTCTCGGCCACGGCGTTCTTCCAAGTGTTTTCCGGGAACAATCAGCGAAATGGGAAATGATCGCGAAGCAATACCTTAGCAAGATCATCCTCTTCGTCCATCGCTTCATCCTGGCGGCACTGGAGGTCGTCTGTGCAGATACACAAGTGCTTCAGCTTGTATCATCCGCCATCATAGTCGAACTCTGCGCCAAGTACAAGGATGGCATGAACCAGACAACCTTCCTGGTCAACGTCGAGCGGCAGCTGAAGCCGTACACGCTGAACCACTACTTTAACCACAACCAGCAGAGGAGTCACGGCGCGCGGATCAAAGAGACGCTGCGGCCTAAGGCCCGACAAGAGACGCATAATACAGGCTGGGGCGAGCGTAACATGCTTGTCATCAATCTAAGTGATGTTGCGGATGCCGTCACGAATAAGAGCAACGCAGCACACGCTACGGAGACCATCCACGACACCCTCGAGGCTTACTACAAGGTAGCCTACAAGCGATTCGTCGACAATGTCTTTAGTCAAGCAGTCGACTACAAGCTGCTTTCCGGTCCCGAGAGCCCCCTTCGGCTGTTCTCGGAGCAATGGGTCCTCAGCCTGGACGCGAAGAAGCTGTCTCTTGTGGCGGGAGAATCTCGCTTGACGAAAGAGCGCAGGGAGAGGCTGAAGAATGTGATTCAGGACCTCGAGGTTGCGATGGAGATCCTGCGTTAATGGAAATTGTGTCTTTGCTTAGAAAGGTACATAATACTACCAGCAGTTTGCCTATCATCTGATAGTGCGTCGCGAAACCTGAACTATAGGAGAGCAATCTCGATCGAAAGCACGTATGGTAGTATGCCGTCGCCTGTCTTGCTGGCTGCCTATTGCGTGTGTCCCGTTCTCGAGCATACAGTCGAAACGTGTCTTTGAAGCCAGCATAGCTAAACAGACAATAGGGCTTCTTTGTACGAGGGTAAGATTGCCATTCTGGAAACATAAAGATAGTACACTTGATTTCAGCCTCCTTCTGATTGTCCCGCGCGGCGCGCACAGACGCACCCGCGCCGCAACGAAGCGCCTGCCTCTTCTGTGTTCCAACCCTCGCCTATACCCTTAGTAGCATCTTGCGCGAGCACCTATCTGTCAAACTCATTAAGCGCTTTCATTATGTGTCTAGGACTCATTGACTCCATACCAAATGATTGGATATTAGCGACCTTATTTTAATGAACCAACTTTGGATAACCAGTCCATGGGATATGCAGTACCTAGGAATATAGTGTCTTCGAGTTGCGATTGGTTTCTTGAAGATTTGTTCTTTAGATAGTGAATGATGGCTGTGGCTGCCTTATGATCGGAAGTGTTCATTGGTGTGTATATGTGGGTCAGGAAGGAAGATGTATGCGGATGAAGACAATGTAGCGGAAAATTTGTAGGAGGATGAAATTAAAAGTATGGTGAACAGGATGTAATTGCTCAGATACATATGTCTCAGTCTATGATTGAACCAGATCATCTGGCCCTCTGGGCAGCACAAAGTCGATCGGAGTCTGCCGTGCATAAGCAGATGACCCTTCATTATGTGGTGAGTGGCACATTCTACCGATAACTAAGGACTAGGCACGGCATAGAAGGATTATTGCATAATGAGGCGCATTAGTCTTTCGTTTGGTCTTGACTTGACATATTGCTAGCGAGTTCACCGTTGGTACGAGACCCTGCTTGTCGCTCATCCCCCTTTTGCGCAGGGCCGCAATGTGTTTGTGGTGGATGGACAAGTGGTGGCTGTGTACTCGGCGTACTTGCGGCCGTTTGAAGAGTATCTAACGAGCGCGCTTATCAAAACTCTAATTAGCCGCGTGCATCCAGTGAAAGCACTGCTACGATCGTCCCGCACTGCAAGCGAGGCTGATAGCGACATGACTCAATGACGACCGTAAGCGCTTCGAAGGGTCCATCGACTCGGCGCAAGGCTGCCGTGACAAGAACCTTGCTGCAGTGGCGCGATTGCTGACTATGTAGTGAAGGATTGAACTGAGGTTGTATTGTGTATGTATGTATGTATGTATTGTTTAACGTCCTATGAAAGCCTCCCAGGGGGCATGAAAGACGGGTAGCGCCCTGTATGGTACTCAGGTGCTCCTATTCTTTGGGTGTTGGCAGTGTGTGCAGTCTGGTAGGGTAATTTCCGCCAGTTGAAAAGACTCTATCTAGGTTCCGGGCTGTGGGGCTGTGGATGTGTTGAGCAATGAAGCAGAGCTCTTGTTCTGGGGCTAGTAGGCCTAGGGCGTTAGCGTTGAAGCTGGGGGAGGAGGTGTAGAGGTGGTAAATGAGCGAGGGACTGATGACATAGACATAAGCGGCTAAAGGCCGCCTAGTACTGTGTTTTGTAATGCCAAAACTGAAATTATCGCCGGCAGATTGTTGTGAAGTACTTGGTGAGCTCCAAGAGTGACTCGAAGTGTTCAGGCTCAGTGAGTAGAGCCTTGAGGTACCTGACGGCCTCTTTCATATTGCTTGGGGGGCTGGAGGGTCGGAGCGGCCATCTGCTAAAAGAGCGTCTTGTCTTTCTGCAGAAGAGCATGTGCTCAGACTTGCTATCAGTCAGGTAACTCAGTTCGAACTGACTGAACTGACTGCCAAGACTCAGTTCAGTCAGTCAGTTCTTGAGGCAGCTGGACGTCAGTCCAGTCAGTTCAGAAGCCTCCAGACTGACTGAACTGACTGACGTTAGACTGACGTTAGCTGTTTTTAAAGCAGTATTTTAGAGTTGTGAAAGCCACATTTAGTGCGGCTTCGAAGCCGCGCTAGTCCTAGATATAAAGACACTAATCCTATATAAGTTAAAGCATCTAGCTTTAAGCTAATTAGAGTTTGCGGAAATGCGCTACCCGGTGCGCACCTAGTAAGCCTTTCGCGTCGCGTCGCGTCGCGTCTGCTATACACACGACGCTAGACTACTGTTGCCATAATACTTCTTGGTGTACTTCATGTCTACTCCCTCTAATTCAGGCCTTCGCCGCCTTGTAGAATGCGACAAGCGCAATTCTCCTCTACCATCGCTATCAAACGCGCCTACTGTTGGCGATACTGCGAGCGAGGCCCAGGCTGATGAGCCCTTGGCAGTACAGGCGGACTTCCCCAACGACGGCGACGACGACGACGACGACGACAATTACGACGGGCTTGATTTTAAGCGTGTGCCGTATCTTGAGCGGCGCCAGGTTGAGCGTAATAGTCGCGGTGGGCCAAAAAGCTGGATCTACCGCCACGGCTGGGCCGTCTGGCACCGCAAGTACAAGAAAAACTACTGGCTTTGCCGGTACTGCCATCAACGACGGAAGCAGGAGGCTTGCTACGAGGCTGACAGCACTACAAACGCCGGCCGACACCTCTCAAGCAACAAGCCTGGACACTCACACGGACCTAACGGACCTGTACCAATTGCTAGCCGGGAGGGCAATATTATGGGCGCGCTCGCAAAGTCCCAAGTATATATTATGAGGTCTAAAGGGATAGAAGTATCGCAAGAGGTAGCAAACGAGATAGCAGCAAGCTTTTCAACCTCTCGATTTCAGGACGCGCTGAAGGACTGGGTAGTCGCGGACAACCAGAGCCTTCGCGTAATAGAAACGCCGCAGTTTCGAGCCATGATTGCGGCCGTGAGCCCGCTAGCCGAAGCTCTCCTTTGGCGTAGCCACTAAACGCTCCACGATCATATTATTACTGAGTACAATACATACATACTAGCTGTTGCCAACTACCTTCGCGAAGCCCGGTCGCTTATACACGTGTCATTCGACAACTGGACTTCAACTGGTGGGCAGTATGCTTTTACTGGCCTCTGCGTACATTACCTTAACAGCGAGGGCAAGCTAGTTGACCACCTGCTTGGGTTGCCTGAGCTACACGGGGCGCACACTGGCAATAATATTGCCGCTGCAGCAACAACAATATTTCGGCTATTTGGCGTTGACAACGCGAGGGTTGGGTACTTTGTGCTTGACAACGCAAGTAACAATGATACTGCAGTTGAGTCCTTAGCAGAGGAGTTTGGCTTTATCGCAAGCGAGCGGCGGCTGCGGTGCTGCTGCCATATACTCAACCTAAGCGCACAATTAGTAATTTGGGGCAAAGACCGTAGCGCGTACGAGAATGAAGCCGCACACCTTGAGGAAGAGGAGAAGTACATGGATGAGTGGCGCAAATACGGTCCTGTTGGCGTCCTCTTTGACGTGATTGCGTCTATCTGTACGCCTCAAACTCGACAACTACTAGAGCGCCTACAGTGCGAGGAGGCAGAGTCTCTAGGTGTTACACCCCACATCCGGCAGCTTGTGAAGCCTGTTAAGACACGCTGGAATAGCTATTTCAACACGTTTGTCCGTGCAGCTGAGCTACACGGCCCTATCGATGGCTATATTGAGTGTAAACTTGAGGAGCATAGTGCTGCAACAGCAACCTCACGACGCCGGAAGAATCGTGAGCAGCTCCCTGCTGCCCAGCCACGGTTATATATACGCGAAGGGGGTCTAAACGGCAAGGACTGGGCGACAATAACAGAATACATTCGACTCCTTGAGCCATTTGCCGAAGCTACACGGCTACTTGAAGGTCGCGGCCGACACGGCCGACACGGCGCTATATGGGAAGTTCTAGTAACGTTTGAGTGGCTTCTTGACCAGCTTGAGGCTCTCAAAGACCGCCTTAAGGATGTAAATTACGAAGATCTAGATGCGCCTGAAGATCATCTTATTACAAACGTTAACCTTGCGCATTGTAAGCTTGCTGAGTACTACGCAAAATTCGATAACGCGCCTGTCTACTACACTGCTACAATACTACACCCGCACTACAAACACCACCTCTCAGCGCTCTGGAAGGTGCCTGACACCCATGTCACTGCCCGTGACGGTGTCCACTATCGCGACGGCTGGCTTGACAATAACCACCGGGCATTCCTGCGCATGTGGCAGGGGCGGAAGGACTCTGCAGCCACTTCAGCTCACACTGTAACGCCGCCGCGTAAGAAGCCCCGGCTAGGGATTTCAACGTCGCGATCAGCTTTTCTACAGTCGTCAATTGAGCAAAGCACACGGCAGTTAGAGGCAAGCCTTGCTGAGGATGAGTATGAGATATGGAAGCGGCAACCAGCGTTAGCTGAGGAGGATTGGCTGTCTCTTAATCCGCTTCTATACTGGGAGTCAGTTGCTGGGCAGTTCCCTATACTCTCAAAGTTCGCTATTGACGTCCTAACAATACCAGCAGCAGCGGCAGACTGTGAGCGGACTTTCAGCGAGCTTGGCGACATGTTAGGCACCCGGAGACTCCATATGAAGCCAGAGCTTATTTCAGCTTTGCAGAGCTTGAAGAGCTGGAAGAGGCTTGGTATACAGCCAACAACTACCTCAGCTTCTGGGCTAGCGCGCACACTATCAGAGGAAGAAATCTCAAAAGTACAGGAGCATTTATCTCAGTTCGACGTCAGGTAACTCAGTTCAGTCAGTCCAGTCAGTCCGCAGGCCGCGGCGACGTCAGTTCAGTCAGTCAGTTTTAGTTTAATTGAAAAGTCTTGGCAGTCAGTCCAGTCCAGTTCAGTGACCTCAGGACGTCAGTTCAGTCAGTCCAGAGAGCTCCGGACTGACTGAACTGACTGATAGCAACTCTGCATGTGCTCAGGTGTTTTGAGTCGCCCGCAAGAACAATTCAATTCTGCTGTGTCGTGTCTGAATTTGTTGTGGTACCATGCAAAGTCCCCATGTCGTGACCGGATAGCCAGCAGATGCGCGAGAACAGGGCGAGGTTGCATTGTAGAAGCTATGGAAAGTTTATGTAGGTGAGTGACCATAAACAGCGCTAGTCTCAGATAGGCATCGTCCCATCACCAAACCGTGACACTATCACCATTGCTTTAACTTCTGATAGTTGTAAAGCCACTGCTGGGGGACTTGGGTGGTTCAGTGTTGCTTGAGCGGATTGTACTTGGGAGGAAAGGTGCGAGCCACTTCTTGAGTAAGGCATAGATCATGGGCAGGTTGGTGGTAAAGATGGCGACGAATGTTTCCCGAGTACCCCAAGAAGCTGTGTTCTCACCGCTATGAGCAGGGTCCTAAAGATTAATCAGTATAAAGATTCGAGACTCGGCAGTTGGGAGATGGTGTCCTACTACGATGAGATAGATACTCTTGAGCGTAGCGCACGCAATGACCAGCACGCCAGCGCCAAGTACCAACATGATGGCAACCTTCTCGTACTTCTTCAAGCGCGATTTTCGTAGCATAAGAAAAGGTATCAAGAGCAGATGTACGTCGGTAGATAAGTTCGAAACGAATGTCACCCAGATTATGGGCTTTGATATCGCTGCTTGACATACGTTACCAGGGTTAGGAACGATCTGCCAGTAGTGGGAGAAGGGTTGGCAGGAAAGGTATATCGTTAAGAGGCTAGTGATGAAGGTAATGGTGATAAGACCAAAAGCGATATGAACATGGGCCCTGAGTTTCTGGAGGCAGCTCTGTGTGGCTCATGTCAGTCAAAGCTCATAGATCTAATGTGATAGATACACATACGGTAAGACGAAGGTAGAAAAGTGCTACACATAGCTTGAGTGACCAAAGTAGACATACAGCTACTGTCCATCCCGCCACCTGGATTTTAGATCCCATAACCCTGGAGTCATATTAGCTACATTTGTGAGATAGTGGTTCACACACTAGAGATGAACGTTGTCGTATTGCTTATACGAAGGACTGGCTTTGCACATACCGCATAATGTACTCGTGATCATCGTGCGAGAGTACACTGCGCTCATCCGGCGTCATACCATCATTGGCGAGGCCCTGGGCAACTGCCCCCAGTATATACCCGAGGACACATTGTGCTGTATAGAAGAGCTGGTTCAAGAATCGTCAGTAAAAAGGTGATATAGGCAACAGAGATTCCCGCTGCTCACAATTGCAATACACATGACACGGTCGTCCCATCGTATATTGTGAACACCAACTGTGGTACTGGCATATATTCGCAAAAATGTGATCAAGACACTAAGAGTATAGAGCGTCCAGAATTCCACAGTACCCATGGCGGCTTCTCTATTTAGGGTGCTCGAATATAACTCAGCAACAGCACTGCCGTCGGTTGTTCGATTGAAATGAGTGCAGAAGCAGAATAAGAACATGTAGTTAACATATATTATGTATTTCAAATTGCACGTGACAAGGCCATGAACATGAGTTGAATGAGTATGTTCCTCGGCTAGCTGGATCACTGTGACCCGGAGTCACATCGACCGCCAAGCTTCAGCTTGCGGGCCGACCTTATGCAAGGGGAAGTGATAAGTCAAAGGCACAGTTCTTGCCGCAGAGTTGCATTAGCGAGCATGGTAATATCGCGTGCAGCCATGCTGTTCTCTGGTAGGTCCACGGCCGATGTCTGCGCGAGCTGAAGGATTGATTGGGCGTGTTCCCCTCTTTCTTCGGTCTGCTATGTACCGGGAACCAAGTGTAACCCCCAAAGGTGCGCAGTCATGGTCACATTACGCATTCGGGTACCGACAGCGTAGTCTACGAGAGATAGGACCACACCCATTTCCTTGAGTAACTCTGCAAACCGCGCAGGTTTCGAAGTTATCCAAGCCATGAGAGAAGCGGCAGGACATGAACGCCACCCACTTGCGCGTGAACGGCAGCTGTCAGAGTCTAGGGGGTTGACGGCGCGGCTCGCGGGATCTGGTCCAAGCAACGAGCCAATGGCGGTGATGCCGGGGCTCAACGGAGACTCCCTGATCCACTCAATAACACGCAGCCGCACGGGTCGAGGCGAATGGTCAAGATTATCGTAGGACCACCCGGGCAGGTTCACCCTTGTCTCCGTCCATCCTTGTAACCTGCCCCGCCTTCAAGCCATCAGGACCACTGCAAAACCGTACAGTATTCTTCATCATCGATGATAATGCCCTTAGCTATTTATTGAACGTTCCTTTTTGTTGGAGGCAGCTCCAGGGCTTAAAGCCAAACTCCAGCACATTGGTATCTTCCATCCCTCTCGCACCAATCTTTGCGCTTTTCTACCAGCATCATGTTACCTAGCATTCTGACGCTATTCGTTGTTGCAGGCTGGGTCCTGACGTCGGTCGTGCCAAACATCGGAGGAGGTTCTGCTTCGCCCTTCAATCTCTCCCCTAAAACCCCTGCAGCCGGCATCGACTGGAAGACATTGGCAACAAAGCTTTCTGTCAATGCGAAGATCTACCTTCCAGGCACAAAGGGGTTTGCTACCTACACAACTCGATGGTCCAATCTTGAAGCTCCCACGCCAAACATCGTCATCGCACCGGGCACAGATAGGGATGTTCAAGAGATCGTAAGTCCTGTTGTTGATGCGCTCATCCAAAAGCAAGCGATGAATGGTACTAACAATGCTTGCTGCAGGTCAACTTTGCGAATACGCATAACATTCCTTTCCTCACCTGCAACGGCCATCATGGAACCCTTACAACCTTGGGCAAGATGGACTATGGTATCGAGATCTACATGCCTCAGCTAAACTATATCTCAATCGCTAAGGATGGAAAGTCGGTGACCGTAGGGGGTGGCATCAACACGAAGAATTTGACTGATATTCTTTGGGCTATTGGAAAGCAGACCGGTAAGATCTAGTTACACATTCACAACAGCTTCGACGTGTTCTGACAAACCTTAGTCACCGGATGCTGTGAATGCGTCAGCTTCTTGGGACCGGCTCTCGGTGGCGGTCACGGGTGGTTCCAGGGTCACTATGGTCTGATCACCGATCAGTTACTTTCCATGAAGGTTGTGCTCGCGAACGGAGACTTGAAGACGATCGATAGCAACTCAGACTTGTGGTGGGGCATGCAAGGCGCTGGCCACAACTTCGGCATCGTCACATCCGTCACTACCAAGGTTTACGACATCAAGCATTACGACTGGGCAATTGAGACTATTGTCTTCAGCGATGATAAGGTCGAGGAGGTGTACGAGGCTGTCAACAAGTACATTCTCCAGGGTGGAAAGCAGGCCGCGGACATTCATGACTGGACTTACTGGCAGAACGATGCAACATACAGCACTGAGGGGGTGAGATGATTCACAAGCCTTGATATAATTCCAGTCGCTAACATAGAACCAGCCGGTCATCGTGATCTACATCGTCCAAGAGGGTGTTACTGCTGTCGATGCCAAGTACACCACCCCCTTTCACAAAATCGGTCCCCTCGCTACCACGCCTCAGTCCGGCACCTACAAGGATCTCGCAAAGTGGACTGGTATAGCCCTCGAATCACCTCCACGTCAGGACTTTGGCTTCAACAATCCTCGCTTCCCTATCTACATAAAATCCTACAACGTCACTGCGCAGCGAAAGGCCTGGGACCTCTACTCCTCCGCTATTTCTGGTACCGACAACCCATACTATAACTCTATCTTTATGTTTGAAGACTACGCCAGTGGCGGTGTCCGCTTCCGTAACAACAACGCTAGTGCGTTCGGCTTCCGCGACGCGCACACCCTCGCTGCACCTCTGATCGTATACAACTCCACTGGCAAGGCGCAGGACAATGGCGTCAAGAAGCTCGGCACTCAGCTTCGCGACATCATCCGGGAGGGTACAGGGTCAAAGGAATTACATACGTATGTAAACTATGCGTACGGTGATGAGGGACCGAAAGCCTGGTATGGTCACGAGAGCTGGAGGCAGAAGAAGCTCCAGGAGCTTAAGCAGAGGTATGACCCCACGGGCAAATTCAGCTTCTACGCACCGATAGCAACGCACCAATAGTATAGTGGCGCAAGGAACATAGTCGTAGATATACTTAGATAGTAATGGAATTCACCAAGATCACGACAAGGCTCAACTCTAAGACGACCTCTGGAAGGACTGGAACGTCCGCAGTGCAATGACGACTCCCATACACGGCGACTGGTGTGAACGGTCTGTAGGTACTGTATTCCAGCTACCTAATCCAGATGCTATTTACAGTCGAGATGAAGAGAAGAAGAGGAAAGTGGGCGGCCATCCCGCTTTGTTTGGGTTGGTGCACGGCCCACGGTCTGCTAGGGGAAGGAGTGATAGAAGGAAGGAAGGAAGCGACTAGGCCACTGGCCTAGTCATGCGACCTAGCGCTCAGCCCGTTATACTAGGGAGTGATTATTGATGGAGGTGGAGAAAACGTGTGTGAACTTGTTGTATTGGAGCTACGGGAGGAGGGAGAATATCTATGGTGCGCGCACGGAGCAGCTGACTAATCAGTGCCTGGCCAATCAGAGCGCGGGAAGCCTGATTCACCGTGAATACTAGTGAAGGCTCTCACCGCGTCTCGACACCAGCACCATAGGTTCCGCACGGGGCTCGTGGACAAGCAGTCCGAGGTCCCGTAACGCCTCGCATCACGCTGCGTGACTACGTGGCATCCACCATCGCCGGCACGGCACTGAAAATGCCTATCTTGGGACACAGGCCATGAACCGCTGAGAGTCAAATGAGCGGGACGGAGGACCTCTGCACTTACGCTGTACAATTCCCAAGGCGATGTGCTTCGGGCAAGGGGATTTCGCCAAGGAATCAGCAATAGGCTGTACCAAGATTGGTGTTCTAAGCTTGCAGTTTGTTGATTCTCACCGACCGGGCGTGCATGACTGTAAGATTGTTGAGAGTGACGATCACAATGTGTGATAAGAGCAGCAGTACACACCACTTCAAGCCACAATACGCTAGGCACTCCTTACGATGTGACCGGCCCCTTGCATGTCCTTCGGCCCCTGATAACCCCTTGCGCGACACTAACCACCACAGCAGCTACATGCATGGTAGAGCCGAGGAGGCACCCGCTTCGACATCCAGTACCTGCACTGCTCACCTGTGGCGACGGGCGTGGACGGCCCACGCCGCTCAACTGTCAGTCGTACGCGCCTGAGCGTCCAGCCCGATCATACTCCGCGTTGCACCGCCCGCAGGGTGTCGCTAACATCTGTCTTTCTGTCTTGTGCGAAGGAAGTAGGAGAACCCCTGAGCTAGAAGCGGACGCCATGCAGCTAACGTTAGGTAAAACTTCGTAGGATCATTTGGTCTGAGACAGTCAAGGTGAGGCTTCATGTCATTCATTTCAAGGTTTCGTCACTAACTTAGTCTACCTTCGCGATAGGGCTGTAGAGGACGTTGTTGCAATGGCATTATCGTTTTTGTGTCGAGTGTCGCGACAAGTTTGGTGGGGGTAGACGGTGACTGGTGAAATACGTTATAATCGCTCTGTCTAGCTCACTTAATATAACAACCATCTTCCTCCTTCTGCTCTGTCTCCTATATCCGACAGCAGACATTCCATACTAGGCTGAATCACTGTTCTCGACCAAAGTTGCGTCCGAATCGTTCTCCGGATCATAATCTGACCAGTTCTCTTCCTCCAGAGATTCATTCAGGAGGCGATATCTCATGTGAATGGCTAGTTTCCCAGCGCCACCGAACCACAGGTCTAGCAGCACGAACTATTCTTCCTCCCTATCTTCCCACTTTTTCTTTGGTATCACATATTTGTGGCCGTCTAACTTGCCATGGACCCACTCTAACACGCCCGCCGGTCTATGGTTCGAGCCTGCTGGACCCTCATGATCAACATAACTAATTTCTCCGATCTTGCCGCTCCTCTCCACCCAAGTGCTTACACGGAATTCTGACTTCCTTTTGTTGAAGTAATCTTTCACTTTTAGTGGAATCTTTTCGGACTTTTTGCCTAAACTTAGCAATGCTGACTGATAGATCTCTTCAAAGTCAACCATTTTGACCTCGTTGTCCCCCCCGTTCTGAGTTTTGGATTTTTGTTTTTAATGATTTCCATTGGAACAAGGTCCCTCTAGTAGTATGACTACTATAGATAACCGAGTGGGAGGAGGGACAAGGCGGGGTGGCTACAACGTATTGTCTTTTCTATCGTACTGAGCGTGTCAAACTCACTCTCTTCTGGTGGGTGCTATTGCCCAGCGGGCAGTGCCTGCCACACCAGCATATCATGTGACTCCCAAGCACCTTCTACCCTGGACTGAACTCAGATATTCTCAACAATTTCTTCAAATGTCCACCCTCTTTCTTTTTCATATTTCCTAATCCCTTCTAACGAATGCTTGTGTTCATATCCATCTTCTGAGATGTCCAATTTACGGCTGAACAGTTCCTTTGCTGAGTCGTAATATAGGTGAGCTGCAAAGATGCCTCCGATGAATGACATGAGATGAGTGGCGTAGAATTTCAATATCGGGTGCAGGACACTTTCGTTCGGTGGGAGGAGCATTAGTTGTACTCGGGTACCATCTTCCAAAGTTCCCCGAAGCATGTAGAAGTCGAAACCGGGATAAATAGAAGCTAGCTCCGTCGTCTTTCTTTCCTCTCCCGTATTTGTCTTCTTAGGTTTCTTTTTCGAATAGTTTCCTGGGAAAAATGTTTTGATGATATATCGTATGCAGTGCTCTTTAGTGATATATCTTGTGGAGTCCTCAGTGATATCGTCTCTTGTCTCTGGAATCTGCGGTACGTAGATCCTCCTTAACCTTCGCAAGAGATACCCCCAAAAGAATGGTTTGGGTATTCCAAGGCCTTTCCACTTTATTCTCTGCTCCTTAATCTTTTTTCTCTGCTCCTCAATATTTTCTCTCTCCTTCTCAATCTTTTCTTCAACTTCCTCAAACGTTGTTTTAATTTCCACTTTAATAAACTGTTTCAACAAATCATATTCAAGGCATCCGAATGTCTCACAAAGCGGAATAACAGTACCAGTTCCATCTTGGTTGTCATGCTTCCATACCGCATCTTCCGGGGGCTCACGCAAACTGTACACACCTCCTAAAGCTGAAGCAAAGCTTTCCGCAAACTTGGCACAGTTTTCGCTGCTGTCAAATCGAATTTTGATGTATGCTTCGAGGTTCTTAGGGCTTATGTCTAATTCCCATGCCATACTATAAAGCGTTTCGTATGGCAAGATGGCGCATCCGTGGTCACAAATGTCGTTGAAAATTTTGGCGATATAATTTTCCCACTTTATACCAGTGATGCGGAGCGTATGCATTATATCTATCACGGCATCTGGATTGCGGGGTTGATAGATGTCGAAGTCGGAATCGGGTCCACTTCCATGTCCGGGTTTGAAGATCTCGAGGGATCGGCTCCCACTCACAGCGCCTCTGTGGTCAGCCAGCGTAGCAAGCAACGAGATCGGGTACTTGTGTAGCTTCTTTAGGGTAGGAAGGGGATCAAGCTCCTCTAGGGTAGGAAGGGGATCAGAATTGGACATGTTGGCTACTAACGTTGACTTGGTACGTATCGGTGTCGTGAAGTGGAAGATAGTATCTTAATGAACAGTTACAGGAGTAAAATATATAAGCTTGAGTCTAATGCTAGACGTGTAATAAAACGAAGCTGCTTATTCTTACAGTGATTAGTGACTGCTAGACTCCGCAACAATCAATTCAATCCGGTCACTCTCCTAGACCCACTTACCTATCTAGGTAGGGCTTAAACTCCTATAGGTAACTACTAGGCTTAAAGCGGTAATCAATCAATCCAATCTGAACCTTCTAGGACCCACTTAATTGATTGTTGCGGACTGTGGTGACTGCGGCTTCACTCCTATAGCCATCAGCGATTGCAGCCTCACCCCTATACGCAACTGCGCAACGGCTTTGGACAGCCCCACCTTCCGTATACACTCTCATGTACTTGCAGTTTCCGGTTCTTGTAAGTAGACGATGTTTGATCCCGCGCCAAGAATCTCTCGCCTACTGATGACCTTACCCTGATAGTGCAAGTTTGTGTCAGTCAATCTTCTGCTGGATGTCCAGAGCAATCAAAGCTTGATGTTTGCAGAGCCGAAGTCTTTCTGGGCAAGCGCATATCAGGTGGGTCAATGTGCCGCGTGGGATGGAAGACTGGCGATGTGCAAAAAGTGGAAACTGCAAGTGCATATGAGTGTATAGCTTAACCTAGGTTGCCTAGCTATAGAATAGTCAATGTGGTTGGTCAGTCGTCGATCTAATGATGACTGATATTTTTAGGATGCTGTACGTAAGGGTGCAGCCGCAATCACTAATGACTGTATGCGCAATAGGTTTGCACAACCCCACCTTCTGTACATGGCTCAGCGCTAGATGTCTGCTGCAGAACAATCCATGTGATTGGCCATCCTCAATCTAATGATGATTGGACTTTTGGAATGCTGCCTACAGGGGTGAAACCGCAATCGCTAATTACTGTACAGTACAGTAGTACAAATTTGAGTGAGAGTTGGAGCAGCAGCGCGCGACAAGACCGAATCTTGGCAGCGATGTTGAGAACCGAAGTTGAGACCAATTGAAGCCAAGGCTTACAGTCAAAACGCGACGCCATCTCCTGACACTGCGGACTGCTTGGCGCACTAACTTAGACCCTGCTCCAAGGCCTGTAGCCCACGACCGCACTAATGCAAGCCTAGATGATTGATCCTGCCAGGGTTATAGCACTTACATTGCTGACTGAAATCGGTTTCCGAATGGTTTTGCTCATCGAGAATTGCCTACCCTTATCTACACTACGGCGTATACGGAAGGTGGATGAGGCAAGCGCAGTTCGCTTGAGATGCCGGGCACTTTATCGCTTGATTTCGCGCACATGCCCACTTGGAAAGCGTAAGCTGCTTACTAGTAAGCAGCCGCGCCACTGCGGCACAGTTCTAGTCATGATAGCCTTGCGCGGAATCTTTCATAGTGCTTACGATGGTCATCGAGTCATGTCGCGATCAGCCTCGCTTGCAGTGCGAGACAATCGCAGCAGTTGCTTCCCCTGTTCGGTCTGCACCGAGACCGAGGACAATTGTTCATTTCGGCCACTGAGATTGGTGTGTACACTTTCATGCACTTGCAGTTTCCGCTTTTTGCATGCTGCCAGGCTTTCATCCTACACGATCTATCGTCTCAACTGGTGCTTGCCCAAAACATCTTGGGCTATGTAGGCATCTGACTTTAATTGGCTAGGAGATATTGTTGTCTCCCTACACAAAGTACTGCTGAGCTAGCGCTCTTCGGTTAAGATTATCATTAGGGGAGAGTGGCTTGGCGTGGGATGAAAGATTGGTGTAGAGGAGCCGGTGGTCATGGCTACTTCACTCTCTGGCCGGCGAATTAAGCCCACCCACAAAGTAATTACGTAATTTTAGTTAATTCAATCTACTCTAGTATCACATTCGACTGCAATACCAGAAAATCTCGTGATAATAGCTTTTGTGGGTGGCTCTACAGCCTCACAAAGTAGGTGGTGTAAATGCGTGTTCGCGGGCGTTCGGTGGCGCGGGCGCTCGGTGGTGGCTTACGTTAACGACCCTGCGTTGCTGTGTCTACTACGCTAGTTACAGCTGATGCGACTAGCGTGACTCTTCATGTCGACACCATGTGTTGGAGTATATGCAGTCAATCAAAGTGTAACCGTGCGAGGCAGTTATCAGAGTATATTGTGTATGTTGTCTTGTTGTGCTGTCATGGCCACCTTATATGTAGCCATAATCAGGGTCTATTTACATGACGTATCTCTGATGCTGGTAAGAGGAGAAGGTGCTCATGGAGGGGAGGGAGGAGCGCCAGGACAACACACGTGACATGCGCAATACCCTTGCCTCACAAACCGCAACACCATGCCCAAGCGAGCTCGATCCGCCAGCACTGCAACTCTCTCGAACGTGGGCACTTACGACGCTCTACTGCCTACTAAACGTCGCGCCTGCAGCACACCGCTTCGAAGCCCGCCATTGCCCGCCGCCGATGAACCGCGAGGGTGCGCGCTGCCCCTCACGCTCGACAACCTCACCCAACACACCCGTAGCTGCGAGTCACAGCCAGCACCGAGGGCGAATTTGATGACCATCATGCCCATGTCACTACCACCCATGCCATCATCGAACTACTCCGAATGTGAGCCTGAGAAGAGGGAGAACAAGCCTCAGCGTGTCGACGACAATGGTTTGAACGGGTGAAATCAACGTTCCTCTCTTGCTACTCTATAACGCCAACACACACACCCCCCTTACCACGTAATGGAGAGCTGCCGATGTCAGGTCTATGCCTTCCTTCAAGTCGCTCGCCACAGCGCCCTTCTTATAAATTGCACGCGCACTCGTCGTGTACCTACATCACCGATCGCACAGAAGCTGAATAACAACCTCACAAGCTTGTATACGATATCATTAGGGTTCCGCTTGCAGCATTGCGCAATCCTCCCTTGGATTAATTCCTTACGTCCGAGCCAACACGATAGGCCGAAAGTCGTAAAAGAACGGAAAATGGATGGTCTAGTGCATGCGGGCGGCGAGGCAACAGTGAAGATTGCAAAAGTTGTGATTGTGGGTGGATATCGTTACTTGGGATTGCGTTGGAGCTTTTGAGGCAAAGCCGGAGGCGGTCGAGATGGTTACTGGCTGCCGGTAGAGTGGTGAAGCTGAGGCTGAGGCTGAGACTGCGACTGGAGCTGAACTTAAGCTAGTGGACGCGAGTAAGATCCTGCCTTGAGGCTAATGAAGGCCCGTTACTGGAGTGTTCAGGAGTGTATTCCGGCTTAGATTGAATTCAATTTGTTTATGGTCGCGCATGTACATGCCGTCGCCCTTCGACCTTCCGTCCTCCACCGCTCATGTTTCAAATCCTTGTCAAGATCCTGACCGCCTTAGCTAGACTTGCTACCTCTTTGGTCAGTTGTGCCCGGGATCGCTTCAGTCCTGGCGCTTCGCCCGCAATCTCCTCCAGCGCATCAGCAGACAGCTGGCTGACAAACATGGGTGAGAAAAGCGCTAGTGGACATTCGTCACACTCCAAGAGGAAGTGGATCACTGACTGTCTGCAGATGCTGTCGACAAAGGTTTTGCGACAAACCTTATAATACGACTTCAAGATGTCGTGGATGTCCTGGACGACGTGCTGCTCGTTGCTCATCGAGCGAACAGGCTGTGAAGCGTGCTCGAGACGGACGACCATACTATGGCTACCATTATGGAAAGCGTTCTTCTTGACGTGGGCAGTGACCTTCTCCTGGCGACTACAAAAGATTAGTTAAACATAGAAGATGTTACTACAACACACGTGTACTTACCTTCGCTGAAGATTGTCGTTGAAGTAGTGATTCTGTTGAGAATATCTGGGTTCAGTCCAGGGTAGAAGGTGCTTGAGAGTCACATGATATGCTGGTGTGGCAGGCACTGCCCGGTGGGCAATAGCACCCACCACAACAGCCAAACTCTGGGACACTGGACAACACGACAGTCAATACAATACGTTGCAGCCACCCCGCCTTGTCCCTCTCACTCGGTTATCCACAGTAGTCGTACTACTAGAGGGACCTTGTTCCAATAGATTCATAGTTATAGGAGTATTGCTCTTCTCCACATTGAGAAGGAATCTAGCGGAGGCGATCGCGTTCTGATACCTCCTAGTCAGCTCGTCAGAAAGCTTACCGACCAGTACTTCACAAACATTGCGGTCGTCATAAATGGAAACCAGAGCCGAAGTGATAAATCGATGGACTAGGACGATTGCATCGCTCACGAAGCCCATGCTGATGTCCTCCCACTTGGACGACTGCTTCTTTATCACGATCGCGAGGATCGAGGCATTGAATGTACCCAGCTCGAACCCTTGATTGTCTTTCAAGACCTGAAGGAGCCAGTCCTTGGTCTCACCATGCAGTGGGTAGCAAAGGCTTTCTTGCGGATGGAGGATGTCCACGAGTCCCTCGGGGTCGTCTTCTTTCCGAATATAAAAGGTCTCCTCGTCAGAATCTTCGTCTGGATCTTCCACGAATACAGGGGCAATGTCACCGTCGTTGCATTTGAACGAGTAAGATTCGCCGTATTTTGCCATCTCATCCGAGAATATCTTCATTCGAGACATGACGGCAGGAGCAATGCATAATCCAGGGTTCTTTTCGAACGCATCGTCAGCGCCATGGCTAGCATTCATTGATAGAGAGACGAGGCGCTGGAATTTCGTGGCGAGTCCGATAAGATATGCCGTCTGCTACGCCGAGGTGTTTTGTTCTAGTCCCAACCCATTTAGTTGCCTCCGACAAGAGGCGAGTCTGCCCTTGATCTCCGCTTGTACCTGGTGTGGGCATTAGCAATATGTATACATCTATTGTAGGAGCCATGTACCTACTTTCGGGCACTCTTTCTTGACCAATGAGGATAGCACTTCCTTGACGCGAAGCCTCAAAGAGTCAATGCCGGTTTTTCCCTTCTCAATACTGCTCCAGGGTGCAGAAGAGCGGAAGAAGGCCGCTTCTAGATCGCCGCGATCCATACTCATGTCTTGGAGGTCCTTCTGGCCGGGATTGCGAATGATATGCCAACCCAGCTTCATTTGGCGGGCACGGCCCTCTACCAGATCTACCATACCAGGCTCGGCGCCACGATCGACTAGGTCCGGCTTAGTGAGCACACCAAGGGTGCGATCGCCATGAACGTCAGCCTCTGCAGCAAGTTCCAAGATCTCCTATGTAGCAAGATCGATGCTGGCAGGAACGACAGCAAGCATGACCAATCGAGGATTGTCCATGTATCCTTTCACCATGTTCCTCACGAGCTGGATGTCCGCCTTGGTAGTCACGCCCTCGGTGGTGCTCTTGAAGATCCCTGGAACGTCGATGACACTGAGATGCTCCTGTTCAGGGCCAGAGATTTCCAAAAGTAGAACGTCGTTGGAGAAAGTAGGCTTAGGGATCCCGTCGTTGTTGTTGCTAGACAGGCCCATCTCCTCATGCGCCTTATCCCTCGTTAGCCAAAAGAAATGCAATACTCGACAAGGAAACATACCTCTTGCATAATCTCCTTGAATGTGTCAGAATCCAACGACGATATTGTTCTCCCCCAACCCTTTACACGGTTGCTGTGCTCGGTCGAAGCATGCTGGTCAGGAATGATGGAGACAACTACCTGCTCTCGTGCTGCTCTACGAAAGATGATCTGCGTAGCAAACCGAGTGCAGAGGCCGCTGTCGCGTAGCAGTAGCTTTTTGATCAATCCTTCGAGCACACTGCTCTTTCCTGAAGACTGGTCACCAACGACGACGATTTGTGGTAGGGAAACGAGTTCTCCGACCCCACAAGCGAAGAGGGAATCGATCTTCTCGAGCATGAGTGGCTCAGCTAAGCCATGTTGATCTGGAGTGTGGGAAGACATGATGTTGGGACTTGCAATGAAGTGAATGTAGTGGGGTTTGGTGAAAAGAAGAGACTGTCAAGAGGTTACATATACTCGTCGTGCAGAACTGACTTCTGTGCCGTGCCTGTCTAAGACAAAGAGAAGATTTGCGTTTTTGTTTGTATAGTCTCTTTTGTCTCGGCGACACAGCAAACACAATTACAAAGCTAACTTAACTACTCGACAAACATATGCGGAGTTGTTAACAAGCAAACGAAACAATCAAATTGCTCGATAACAGATCAATGTGGCAAGTGCACAGCAGCACAAACCGCTATGTAGCCTACTATCAAATCAAACAACCTAAGCTCGGCCAGCCTAGAGCACCAAGCAGGTTAAGCAGAGGCATCAAACTTGATTGACTTGTTTGTTGACAAGTCTGGCTGATGGAGCCTGCTTGATCGTCAGTTTATATAACAGGGAAGAAGGCCCAACAGAGAGACCTTCGCCTTGCTGTCCGTTACTCAAACTTGAAGGAGTCATCACGCCGTCCTTGGGAAGCTCAGTGCATTACTCCGCCTTGCTGAGTCAATGGGGAGGCAAGTGCTCATAGATCGCAAATACTCGTAGGTCAATCAAGCAGCGGCGTTTCAGCTAAGCGCCGCGATTTTGCGGGCTTATATTTCGAAGTGCTTCGGAAAACGTTAAGCCAGGCTTAGACTAAGTTACCCTGAGGTTTCGGTGCTGAAAACCTGGGCGTGTAGCGTTTGTTTTGAGAACGACAAACACAGTTTGCAATCGCATCGTCCATCCGCATGATGCGCTACAGCAAACTCCGCAGGACATGCGTATATAAAGGCCATGCCAGTATGAAATTAAAACTACCATCACGCATCCATTCTGCTGCGTTAAGCCCACTTCGTTCGAAATGGCCAAACCAACCATCATCGGACTCTACGGCATATCCGGCTCCGGCAAGTCGTATCTACTCAACCACGTCAAGACCGAAATAGCACTCCAGGCCCAACGCTTCGCCTTCTATGACGGCAGCGAGGTGCTCGCGCACGTCACGCCCGGCGGCCTTGACTCCTTTAAGCTCCTCGATGCAGCTGCAAAGCAAAGCAGAATCGAAGCCGCGCTTGCCCTCATCACCCAGACATGTCTGGACCGAGGTGAAACGGCTGTCGTCGCGGGGCACTACATGTTCTGGAACCCCGGCGTCGTGGTCGCGGTCGAGAAGGACTGGCAGACGTACACTCACATCGTCTATCTCGACACGGCCCCAGGCGTGATTGCGCAGCGCATCAGCGCAGATTTGACGCGGCACCGCGTTGTCGTCGATGAGGAGGGACTGCGGTCCTGGCAGAACAAGGAGAAGGAGGACTTACGCGCCATTTGTAGAGAGAAGGGAATTATATTCACGACGCTGCGAGAAAAGCCAGGAGATACAAATGCGGCTTACCTCGCCCACGCCTCGACTCTGCTCATGGACTTAAAATGCCACACCGAAGCCGCGAATCTTGCCAACGTAGAGCGCGCCTTGGGCCTCGCCCTACCGCACCTGAACGACCTGGAAAAAGTCCTGCTCTTCGACGCAGACAAGACGCTCGCGCCGCAGGACACTGGCACCCTGTTCTGGGAACTCGCTGCGACCTTCCCGGCCTGTCCGCTCAAAGCTCTCTTCACAGCTCAGCCATACTCGTACCACTCGTTCCGCCAGGCCGCGCTGTTGTACGAAGAAGAGGCGCCACGCTTCGACGCGCTGTGCGACCGCGTCGCCGCCACCGTCGACATGTACCCCGAGATGAAGGCACTGCTTGCGCGCGCGGCCACAGAGCCACACGTCGGTGTCGTGCTCGTTACCTGCGGGCTGCGCCACGTGTGGGAGAAAGTACTTGCGCGCGCCGACCTCTCCCACGTCTCCATTATCGGCGGCGGACGCCTGTCCGACGGCTACGTCGTCACGGGCGCAGTGAAAGGCCACATCGTCGACCTGCTGCACGCGCAGCGAATCCGCGCAATTGCCTTTGGTGACAGCCCGCTCGACATGCCCATGCTGCAGCGCGCAGACGAAGCGTACGTCGTCTTCAGCGACAGCTGCTCCATGGACGCCGCGCTCACCGCCGCGATCGCACGCGGATACACATTCGCCCAGGTCCTGGGACCCGCTGCGTCCACCGTCCTGCCCTCTGTCTCCCTGGAATGCCATCGACCTCGCCCCGCGTCGCAATCTCACACTCGCCCACCCGACCACCGCGCACCTTCCTCGGCACGCCCACGCGCGACGCAGCGCTCACGGACCATGCGCTGCGCGCCGCTCACGCAGACATGGGCTACTACCTCACGCTCGCGCACGTGGCACCGCTGCTCGGCCTAGAACAGTACGCCATCTTGCATGTGCAGGGCACGCCGACTGACGGGCACCGCGTGCGGTTCGAAGGCAGCACGCTAATTGTGCCGCTGATGCGCGGCGGCGAGTCTATGGCTTTCGGCGTGAGTCGCGCATTACCGCATGCTTCGTTCGCGCACGCGCGGCACTTCGCCGACATTGTCGAGGGTCAGATGCGTGGGGTGCGCTGCATGGTGGTTGTGGACTCGGTGGTAAACTCTGGGGCGTCGGTTTTAGCGTTTGTGGCCGACGTGCGGGCGCTTCATCCGGCGCTGCGCGTGGTGGTGGTCGCGGGCGTGGTGCAGGCTGGTGCCGTGGAGAGCGGGAGCGCGCTGATGCAGGCCCTGGAAAAGGATCGGAATCTGAGTGTTGTGGCGTTGCGGGTGTCGGGGAACAAATACAAGGGGAAGGGCGGGACGGATACGGGGCATCGCTTATTCAATACGACCATGTTGGAGTAGGCGTTAGGGCGAGAGAGTGTAATTGCTAGAAAAAGCTCGAGCCAAAGTAGACGACGGAGCAATGTAAAGAGGCCAACCCCGTTAGATACTAGATGAAATCGAGGCCAAAGTAACCTAACTTAGCGCGACTCGCCCTTGATAGCATGACGATACCACGGAGCAGTATATGCTGTGTTTCTGCGTTCCTCCGGCAGTTCTTAGACTATGGTAGAAGGGGCCATACCAGCTGCAGTCGTCGACAGACTTGCTTAAACTGCGCTTCGTCAATATTGTGCCGAAGGGCGACTTCGTTAAGCTTGTGGTCCTTCCTCGGGTTCACAACTTCGCACACCTGGGCAAAATGAGGGTCACCGCAAAGGCGGGCCGTCGTTCGATACAGCTTCCAACGTAAGGTGTACTTTGTAATCATATAGGCGTAGATAGGGATATGTCGGAACGTGTAAGGCGGTAGACATCGGATCGGAAACCCGTCGTATTGCGCTCGGATGATGGTGAAGAAGACGTCAGCCGTCTCACTCAGTTTGAGCATAGGACAACTCGCGTTGCGTCGTTCCAGCAACTCTTCACGAAGTCGGTCGCGATACCAAGATGGCGGTGATTGTCGCGATAGGCTCAGTTTTTCGTGCCACTTCCTCAAAAGTGCGTTGACCGGTGAACGCATGTTAGCTAGACAATTGATTGACAACGACAGTGCGATGCAGTTTTTGAGGCACAACGGACCTGCGGATGGACTGCGGATGGACTACGGCTGGAGTGCGTCACGCACGTGCCATGCTGGGCCATGGAGATCTCAACGAATTCGTCTTTGGCTGACCCCCATACCGCCTCTGTTCGACAAGCTACAACACTTCGCATTAGGTCGATTCTCGTCAATACCATTTGCGTCGTTGAGGCAGTAAGGACTATATACTGCGGCATCAATCCTAGCATCAACACTACGACGTCGCATTCTTCGTTCGCATCGCGACTGTCTGTAGCTTGAAAACCCCCCAAAACAAGCTCCTGCCTGAAAGTTTGGCTCCAGGCAGGCCAATGTATTCATAAAAATTCGCCTTTGCCTATCCTAGTTGTGCCGTGCACACGCAGTAGATGTTCTTGAAGTGTTTGGCTGTACGCATTTGCGAGAGGCGCAAACATTACCACGTCGAGCGGTTGAAGGCTGTGAGTTGAAGAAGGAGTGAATACCGCAAGCATTATCTTGTGCGCGTCGCAGAAGTTTATAAAGTCGCTTGTAACATGGCTGCCGTAGCCGTTGAGGATAAGAAAACGCCAGCGCCAGCGCGCTTTGTCTATCGTGAAGCACTTAAAGATCTGTTCAAGCCAGGCAAGCCCGAGCTCGTTGTTAGTCCATTCTAAGGCTAAGTCTGCCACAAAAACATTGTGTAGATCGGGTTACAGCTCACTAACCCAGCTCGATTAACTGCCAGCTTTGCCCTCGTAGATGATACCTGGCGGCAGCAAGCTGCCGTCGCCACAGATACACGCGAGGATAGTAATCCATCTACGATTGCCATCTTGGATAGCTCGTATCTTTCTTTCAAGTTAGCATTATGTCGTGCGCGGTCGATGCCGCAGGTCTATTTAGGCGTGAGATGGTCGTGTTGGTGATGCAAAAAACGCGTAACCCAGCTGTTTCCTACATCCCGTTTTGCAACTACCGACGCAAATTGTCTTATCATATCCCGTGAAGATTGCAAGCAACTCTTTATGTATCTTTCTATGTACTCCAAACTCTCTGCTTCTTTTTGTGGGTCGAATAGCTGCTTCTGTCGTGCAGCTTAGTCTCTAGGTCGCAATATGCCTCAGTGCCGGCGCGACCACGGTGTTCAATTAAATCCGAGCTGTTCTACAACACTGTGATATGAACATGAAATTTCGGACCCGCGCGATTCAATTAAACTAATTGCATTATCGATTGGGCTCATAGTGGTGGAGATATTCGGGTTTGAAAATGGGGGGTTGTATATCGGTTTGGTGTTCAAGTGGCTCGTTGGGCCGACGCGCACGTTAACTAGCGTCTTAGCATACTCGGCCATCCGGGCGGCCTGCCAAACTTACCTCATCGCCCTGCCTCATTGCCCTGCCTCATCGCCTCAGATCCACTTCAAGCCCGATTACCACCGGCCCCATGCCTACCATCAGCAAAAAGAACTCGAATAAAGAGTATCTGGGAGAATAGAAGAGCGTACCAGAGAGCAGGATACTGTGGTTACAGCCTCTCATGTTCAGATGCACCCGGACAACACACGTATTGTGAAGTTCATCGTCACCATCGAGCTACCAAGCAAAGACCAAAACGCGCTGAGAAAACACACAGGCACGCAGCGACAAGGCGTCTAGAAGACTTTCGCGACGTGACACGTCAAGCTCCAGCAATTCCACAAGCACAAGCAGCATTGCCCACGCGCGCCGTCCATGCGCCAAACGTATCGTGGCAAAAACTATTTTGGGTTTCTTTCCCTGACACAAAGCGACTCGACGAGACGGCCACTCTCGCCATCCAGCTTTTCCCGAGGACCGCGAGAGCCTTGGTCACGATCCCTGGCTAGCAGAAGCCTGTTCGATGACATTGCACAACACTGTCATACTGTCCGATAACGGAGACTGCTTCATACACAGGGTCTAGTCACAGTACTAGCCACGAAAACACTGGCTCAAATTTCCGTCGACGCGCATGCATGGGACTGGCTGGCAGCCCAACTCCAAGGGAACCTACTGTCCAGGTCCTGCACAGATGAAGATGGGAATGCGCTGCACGGCATACTATTCCTGCATTAGACCACCAACGAGCCCATGAACCCCACCCTATACAAGGTCTATAGAGCGGTACGCATATTAAAACACGTCCACTCTGCATCGTTCCGAGTTTACTCAAATGAGGGCGAAGCCGAGCAAGAGATGGACATACTAGGGGACATTCGAGCCTTCGACGAAATCGCGTCTTCATCGCCACAAGAGTTTTCTTACCGACCCAAGACATGTTATGGGCATGGCCCATGCAAGCTCCGCGATTGCGAGACAACAGTCCACAAGAGGACACAGAGTGGCTGCGCGACGCACGTCCACGTACGGAAGCGTGGAGACCATCACAAGCTTACCTGTCATCCGGAGGCGCAAATGCCTGAAACCTCGTCACAAAGCCGCTGAAACCGGAAAAAGAAGCCTATGACTGCGTCAAGGTTATCTAGGATGCTAGCACATGGTGCTGATTAGTCGGCACATTGGTTTCACCAAAAGTTCATCTCATCCCTTTAGAGTTTTTATTGCCACGAATTCGAGCAAAAAAGGTGTTTGAGATCGAATTAGTCAAGTTATTGCTATTGCGAAGACTCCATTCAACAATGATACACAAGCACTCGCAGCACGAGAGTTCCTCCCGGATGACTTGGAGCCCGCATCGACCCGGGAGCGGCTGCAGTACTCCTTCTGCACGACTCTCTCCTCTACATAGCGGCGACCCATCTAGTACATGATCTACCCCCACCAGCGCAGAATGGCCAGGGCGACGTGCAGGTGCCCTGGAAGACGAGGCTACGGCTACGCCTAAACCAACCTCGTCCACTGGGTAGTGCATGGCGTATATGTATGTAGTTGCACATGGAACACGTCTGCAGTCGCAGAACTTAGTATCTACGACCCTCCATCATAGTGCTACTCTCCCTCTTCTTCTGTAGTCTTGACTCTTTACTACATTGTGAACCTAGATAGATGAATTGTCGTGCTGTATTACTCATGTGCCTAAGTGTGTCGCTGGAATGCTTGACCAGCCCCACAGACCCATGCCGTGACCAGGCACCCCTCCTCCGACCCTACCC